TTTGCTTGTAAGTGCTTCGAGCGGGAACAGCTTTTGTGAAAATCGGGTAATTTTTAAACATCCAAACAGTCGACTGCTGTTGACTCTCGGGCTCATATGTGGGTATCCACATCAGTTTGCGCACAGCATCAATAGTTTCCAGAACAACCTCTGATTTTGGACGACCTTCACGAAATCCTTCTTGAAGTGATCTAGGACTCGATATATCACCATACCATCGATAAACCAGTATTGTTCAAGAGCTTCATCATCATAAGGCAGTTAGCCAAATTAATTAAAAAAAAAAAAATTATTAAGTAAAATTTTCTAATTGCGGTCGCCCCTTCGAAAAATTTAATTAAAAAAATCATTTAAAAACCCATCAGCCATTCGGAAGCGTTTTAGGATGAAATGTAGATTCCTCCATTTACTAGAAAAACATTGAGACGCTTAACCACAAATGGGAGGAGGAGCTCGGCTGAAAATTGTTTCAGCGCTTACAAAACGCCGAAATTGCATTAAGGTTGTAAATTTCCCTCGTAAATTTACCGGTACGTACAACCGTTAACTGAACAAGCATCTGAACAGCACAGCCGAGTATAAAAATCCTTGATGTCTCCGAAACTCACGAATGGTTTCACTGTGCAATTGATTTACTTATACTCACTACACTTCGTGTTGTTATTTCTATCTTATAGAACATTTCTTTTACAATATTGAGAATTACTCGTATATGCTTTCATGTGTGTAGATGTGTTTTTGCACGCATAAAACTAACACAGGATGCCATTTTAGTAATTTTTACTGCTTTTTTATAGCTTCACAGTTCACCATTTTTTATGCACTGCATTAACCCAGCGGAGGACCTTTGCATATTCACCACAGTTATTACGTAATCATACAATGATTTTATTGGGAAATGTTTCAATTTAGCTTTATATGTTTTGCTTTTCAAGGAAACATGCTAAGCAATTTATGGTGTTTGCTGTGTTCATATTTTGCTAAGCCACTGAATGTAAATATATTTACACATACATATAGACACATCTGTAAAAAAATAGCCTCCGAATTGAAATGCAGAATTGTAGGAAAAAAATCAAGAATTCCTATGCCTCCATAACCTCGCTACACGTCTCAATTAACTGCTCCTATAAATGGTTATGCAAATTTACACGAATTTCACTTTTCATGCAAATAAGCAAACTTTCTTAATTAAATGCGCAATTTTATTACACCAAAAATAGTTTGGCATGGAATTTGTGCGAATGGGTTGAGGAAGCTGGGGCAATCGGAGTGCAATCAGGATTACGGTTGGCATAAATCACTTCGTATTGACTACGCTTCCTTGTGAAACACGCCCACAGGCACACACAGCTCCGACACACACCCCTGGCGGCTGGCAGCAAGGACCATTCATCGACGCCGTGGCACCAAGAAGGCAGAATAAGAGAGCAACAAATTTAATTAGCAACCAAAGCGTGCAATACAAATGCTGCTGCAGTCAGCAACAAAGTTTCGGAGTAATTAAGCTTCGTGAAATAGATCCCCAAACTCACTTCATGCCTCGGGATGACGACCATGGCTGTGAATCCGTTCAAAATAAGTACGCTTAAAGAAAGTGAATGGAGAGAGAAGAATGGTGTTTTTTGTGGAAAGTAAAAGCGTTAATTTATTTATTGTACAAATTTATTGCTCAAAAATGCAAAGGATGCGAAAAGTGGAAAATATTTACAAATCTTATAATGTAGACGCGCACACGCAAACACACAAACACACAAACACGCAAACACACAAACGTATGTAAGCAAATAAAGTATCTGAAAGGAAAGTGCTCTTTAAGCGCTAAAAGCGATCATATCCTTCCACGGAAATCGCCAAGAGATGGACTATGTGCAACCAGAGTGGTCGACAGTAAAATTAAACAAGGGGTATCATATGTTGATAACCGCCGGTAGCACCTGATGACAACATATATGACAATTGGTTGACCGGTAAATTACGCTGCTCCGATTTGAACGCCGGGGACTAGCGAGATGCAGATGAAAAACTACATGCATATCAGAAAACCGTCCTTGGGATCGTGACAGGGAGTGCCACGAGTCATGGAGTATAATGTTATGCAGTGCAAGAAATATCTGCTAGGATACTACCGTGGGGAGCACCACAGACATTTGCTCGAGCCTGCCCCCTGCATTTAAGCAAATCAGGAAGTGAGTACTGGATTACACAAGCTCCATTTAACACCATTAACATGAACCACTGGACAGGACGGCGTACCGAGAGTCAATGTCTTCTTGGACTTTCTTCTAGTGCTCGGCGTTCTCGGTCTTCAATCACCACCTATAGCAGGCGAGTAATATTGGCAAAAGTGAGGTCTGCATTTTGTAGTCGACTTAATTCCTATCTATCCATACTTGACCCCGACCTACCAAAAGTATGTGCTACATGTAAAGTGAGTGGGCTCACGACACTTGCCTCAAACCGACTCATTTAACCCTCCTTTCTCTCTGACCCCAACCCCCCGAAACCGTACATTTCTTGGAAGTCTCGTTAGATGACCTAGATGACTTAGACTAGTCTCGCCTGCTCTCGAGTAGGGAGCTCAGAAATCGAAATGAAAGCGTTCTTCATATTATCAGGTTTCGCGGTCAATGAAACCTTATAAAAAGACAGATGAGAGCGCAAACTTATTACGCCAACCACTATTTGTGTTATTTATTAGTTATTAAAGATATTTATTAATACATATAAGTACTGTCTGTGGGAAAACAAAGTCAATACTTGAGGCGCTCAATGATTTTCATCGAAAACCTTTGTTTACGCTGCTTTGGTATTTCCAAAGTGATATCAGCCAGCATTTTCTGCAGAATACATACACACATACATATATATGAATAAGTGTCGTTAATAGTTTTGATTCCAAAGTAAATAGTAATTGTTTTTACCAGCTGATATCTTCTGTTTACTTATTATTTGCTGCTATTATTTCGGCTTTCTACGTGATTTCGTCGGCCATTCCACTTTCGGCTGATGCATCAAATTTTATAATTATTTTTTGCATATTTCGATCATTTTGCGTACACATGTATGTATTTATGACAAATTAACTGAAAATATAATTGAAACTCAATTATTCATAATTTGTTGTAAATTTATAACAACGTCATGTTAATACCTGAAAAAAAATTGTTTACGCGTTTTTTCAATCAAATAATGGATCTTACTTCTAACATATTTTAGGAGTTCTTGAGTACCAAAGATACTAATTTTAAATGCAAATTATTCCTTTTTTGTGTAAGAAACGACAATTCCGTCAATTTTAGTATGAAAATAAACCACGAATTTCAGCCAAGCCAAATCGCGACGATCATAGTGCAGAAGTCATCAATTTTCGTCATCAATTAATTTCCTTAATGTAAATGTGTAAGTAACTGTATATACGAGGGGATTAATAAAAGTTCGGGAAGTTGACCAGAAAAACCAGAGAAAAAATTCTTTTTATTTATTTATTCGTAATCTTTGTCCCTTCTCTTCTCTACATAATCACTATTGATTATAATAGATTTCTTAAGGCTATAGATCGAAAAACAGTCTTCAAAATCAGCTTTTCAAGCTTATCAAGTTCAGCATTAACCGCCTGAAATATCTATCTGCTATTAAAGACTTTTCCTTTATTTTTTTTTTTAATTTTTAGAAATAACCAGAAAACTTTTGGTAAGCACTCTCCGGTGTACCATTTCAAAGTTACTGTCTGATTCCTTTCCAGCGACAATTTTAGACGGGGTGAAGTAAAGTGGCATCATTACTTTTACTGCTGATTTTTTGCTGCTCAGATTTTACTGCCGAGTTTGCTCCTGTTGGACTCCATACCATGGACTGCTGTTCGGTTTCTAGATCGTACTTATAGAACCAAGATTCGTCACCAGTAACGAAATTACTAAATTTGCTAGACTAAAATGGTCAGAATTTGTTTAGGAAAAAATTGAGCAAAATGCACTGTTGGCTCTTTTTGGGTCTCATTTAAACCTCGTGGTACCCATCGAGCAGATTTCTTCGTGTATCCCATTACTTAATATTCGCGATACGGTCATGGCAATCAAGCCGAATTCATTAGCAATCATTTCTTGTGTCGATTGTGAGTCTTCGTCAATTTTGGACTAAAGTGACGTCACCAGTGGAAGAAACCCAATTGGAGTGGAATTTCGTCTGACCTTTCCTCAGCTATCGTGCGTTTTGGCATTTTTAGATTTAACAAAAACAAATTATAAGTCACCTACTGACCGAACATTTATTAAGCCCCTCCTATATACACACATATATAAACAGAGTTTTCTCAAAGACCAACAAGTCTACTACCCTTTCTTTCCAAATTGATACCAGAACACCAGTTTGGTTATCGTGGACTTGTGCTACCGTAGAACAAATCTACCGAATTGAAATTAGGAAGGCATTCGAGTTCGAGGAACATTGCTGTGAAATAACGTTAATCAATCAGAATTTATCGAAAACGATTTACTTCCCATCGAAGAATGGCTGATAAACTGGAGAATTAAAATCAATTAGCAAAAGCGCAAACACGTTTTATTTACATTACGCTGGCGACTATGTCTTACAATTTGATGACATGGAAATAATATTGACGAAATACAGAGGTTTCTGTCCTAAATTCTAAGGTCAATCACGGGCGCATCGTGGGACGTTCGCTACATAAACAAACAAAAGGACCTCGGTATTCTACTAGCTAAACATGAAGTTAAAAGAAGCAGAACGAAGTAGCTATATACTAGCTATATCTCTTTTGCCATAAATCTAATTTCTAAATACATCTCAAACTCTCTCTCCCTCTCTTTCGGTGGCTTCTGTTACAATATAAAATGTTAACGTAAGCAATGGAATTCGTTTGGATATTTTTCATGCCTTTGCAAGCACAAACATATGATCTAAATTTATATCAAAAAGTAATTCTTCAAATGTCCATCTGCTTTGACAAATGAGTTTGAAGCTTTTTTTTATCGCAAAACACTGTTTTGATATGGTGCGAATGTGGGGTATAAAAGCTGGCGTGGAGCTTCAGTCGGCAGAGTTTCTCGAAGAAAGTCAAACAAGCAACTACAAAATGTCTGCCGCAAAATATTTCATCGTGATGGCACTGCTGGTATTCTGTCTCTTCTGCCAGGAAGCCGTGGCTCATCACTTCGGAAAAATTGGACACGAAGTGGTAAATATGTAGATTATGTTAACACCCAAAAATATATAACTAAAAAATTAATAAACTTTGCAGCATAAGGCCGCCCACAAGGTTGACAAAGTCGCTTCCCACATAAACAAAGCCAAGCATGCGATCGAAGTCGGTGGTGCTGTGGCTGGAGTTATTGCTGGTGCTGCCGCTGCCGCTTAGAGGCCTATATGACTTCAATGATATTTTCCAAAGATTATCTGATCTGTGTTTTGTATTTGTTAATAAAAAAATTATACCTAAAGCAAAATGATTCATGTGCTCATTGAATGCTATTTAAGTACTGATTGTCTGTAGGTTTCCACTTTTCTACTGAGGAGCAAAAGCCTTTTGGAATCATTGTTTTCTGCTCTGCTTTCTCTGCCTTTCTATTGTCATTCACGAATATGTTATTCTTATTCTGCATCCAGTAGAGCAATATCATCAGTTTGATAAGAAAGTACTATATGGAATTTTGAAGTAGTGTTGGACTTTTTTTTTTGGTAAATAGAGCCATTCATTATTGACCAAGTGATACCGATGCTTGTGGTACTGCTGCTCAATACCCCTTCATTTTTCTTTGTTACCAGCTCAATGAAAATAAAGGAGGATTTAATTTATCACAGGTTTTCGCATCGTGGTATCATTGTCACTGGTAACTCATGGTAAAAACTTGGTTTTGAATTGTTCCACTTAATACGTTTATAAGTAACTTTTATAATTGGCACTTTGTAACCACTGAAGCGATTTTTCACCTTCAATTTGTGGTTTTGCATCTTGATGTTTTTCCAACAATTGGAGGGTCCTACGGTTTATACTAAGGCGCCTCCGTATGGCTGATGGTTTTTTTTTACGAGAATCCTTTATTTTATGTTAAAAATACACTCGGAGGGGTGGATATTCCCTGCTGAGTGGCGACCACAATTGGAAAATTTAACTTAATTTTCCATAATTTTTGGATGTTGGCCGCATCAGGATATGAACCCGAGCTTTCCGAATGTCAGTACGCAACGTTAACCACTCGGCTACCACGGCCGCCATACCCATAATTTTAAGAAAAAATTAAAATCTGCCAAGTGCAAAAAAACACATTTCCGAAAGTTGCCTAAATGTAGATGTGTAATTGTGGCGAGGAGCAGAAAGGGAGAAGTTTTCGGAAGTAAGCAGGAAAAATCTTTAACTATATTATTCTTTGTTTTTTTTTTTTCATTGGTCTCTCCGAATTGGCGATCTGGTATATCGATGCAGAAATGTAGATATTTTATATAGCAGAATTCGTTCGAAGAATTTGGAAAGTAATAGAATAGTAGAGTTATTGGTCTGTAACAAGACGTTTGTGTGTGGTCTTTATCTGGATTAGGTCTCATTATTATCTGCGGCTTTTTCCATGCATTTGGAATGTAATTTAAGCTCGAAATGGCAATGAAGAGTTCAGAGAGAAACAGTGCTAGGTTTAGTATTTTTTTGTTTGTATTAAAGTCGTAGCCTGTGACCTATTGCCCAGTCGCACAACTTTCAGGGGTGATGTTTTCTTCGTCACCTGAATTTCAAGATTGTTTAACATAAAACATGAAACGCATCGTTTAGGTAGAACATCTTCCTTAAATATTTCGCAAAACAATTTGTCTTCTCCGTTACTACGAGCAAAGTTCCGTTTGTGTTTCTGATTGGTTTACGCAACTGGACTGAAGGCCGGAAGTTCTTGAGTCTTGCGTTTGTTTCAGCGCACTTTTCAGTTTTTATCTGTTATTTTAGCCGTAACAGCAGGCGAACGATATGCCTGCTGGCGAAATTTCTGTATTGCTAATTCTTCTATTTCAGTATTTGTTAGGGGTTTTGAGTCTGTAATAAAACTTTTTCTTTATCTTAGTTCATGGACTACATTTCATTAAAGTGGTATTGTTTGGACTTTATAGTCTGTAACCACAGATGTGGTATTCAGATCGTAATCATGTTTGCCAAAATCCAGGAAAGAGCTTCTCTTGTCACTCTTAGAGTTTATATGTCACAAAAAAAAATGTCACATCCAAACTTAACTTCGATCTAAAGACCAATCTAATGGGTACATGGCATCCAAATAATTAAGAAACTAAAATTAATTTATTGCAAGCTTTTTTTTTATTTTAGTATATTATAATTTTCTTCATATGCAATCTGTTTTGATCCATCTTGTTTATCAAAATCGTCTTCTATGTCCTTCTAGCCTTAAGCAGCAGCAGCACCAGCAATAGCTCCAGCAATAGCGCTTCCTGCAGCGATCACATTTTGAGCCTTATGGATTTGGTTGGCAACGTGGTCTACCTTGTGAGCTGCCTTGTGCTTCGAAGGGGAAAAAGAATATTTTTATGCACATATAATTTTGTTGGTTTAACACATGTTCATTTTACCACTTCGTGTCCAACTTTTCCGAAGTGATGAGCCACGGCTTCCTGGCAGAAGAGGCAGAAGACCAGCAGGGCCATCACGATCAAATATTTAGCGGCAGACATTTTGTAGTTGTTTATTTGACTTTCTTTGAGAAACTCTGTCGATTGAAGCTCCACGCTAGCTTTTATACCTAAAATTTGTTAGATAAAATGGTCTTTACCGAGGGAATGCGGCGATAAGAAAATAGGAAAACCCGTTTTGAGTAGCGTAAATGACATTAAATAATTGATTATATATTGTATATATATATATGCGAGGTGTTTATACTTTTATCAGATGAATGTAAGCACAAGTGTACTTACTAGAACAAGAAAGCAAGAGGAAACCAAGAAAATCCGTCCACGACTTCCTCTATTATTCATAATATTGTACATCTTTGTATATATAACTTTATATGTATATGCGCTTTGTAGTCACTGTGGTAATCTCCGACCTAGATTAACCATATAATACTTTAATTCTAAATGCAAATTTTCTTTTAGAAACGAAAAAGCGTCTAGACTCTGATTATATCTGACACACACTTCCATTGCATTAGTTGTTGCTCGGGACTTTTCGTTATTCTGTGTTTCTTCCCATCTCCAACTTAGGAGGAGGGGATCAGTAATACCTAATATAAAACTTTACTCTTTCTGAAAAAATAACAACTTTTGAGAGTTATAAAATTTTATTTTTATTTAAATTTATGAGCTACAACAATGTTAATCAGAAAAAAAATTTAGCCTTCTTTTTTGCACAAAATATCGAACAAAGTTAGAGTTTGTTAGAGTGTTTCAGTAAAACTCGAAAATTAATACCAAGTATGCAAAATATATAAAAATCAAAACATAATTATTAAACATGTACATTATACAATATACCTGTAAAAACATGCTATTTTCAGTCATTGCAGGTATGCAGTATATTTTGATTACAAAAGAATGGTACTTCCGATTGCCAGCCTCATACCGTATTGAATGGTCCGAGTATACTTTTTGGCGTTACTGATCTTCACAATTATGCACAACAGCGCCCTCTAAGTCTCAGCACAACCATATTAGTGAATGCCTTTATTAACTATATCGTGGATATCTAAGGTGATATCCGTATGCATAGATACATATCTACATCAAAAGATAAAAAAATGCGGATAAATGCGAGTTGACCACATTTAGTTTTTAACTTGTACAGCTTGAATATAGAGAATATGTACATAAGTACATATAAATATATACAAAGAATGAAATGATTTTAATTTTAGAAACGCCATCATAGGAACTTTCCTTTTTATAGAACAAAGATCGTGCCAATCCGAAGAAAATAATTAATAGAAAGACCTTGCACCGGGAAATAACCTAAAATTGGGAAGTCCGTTTAAATTTAAAAAATTAATTAATGAATTTATCAATTATTTTCATATTAATAATTATTGACTTAAATAAATTTTAAATATTTATGTATATACAATTCCATTTATCTTCCAAGTAAATGAGTGAACTAACGAACGTAAAAGCAAAAAAATAACAGATAAGTTTACTCATGACCATTTACATACTAATTTACATACATACACTAGTCCCTAAGATCCTTTCAACTCGCTTACGCATAAAAGCTGACTGTTATGTAGGTCAATTGTTGTTAATAAAAGGGAGAGGCAATAACGTGCATACACGTACATACGTATGGTTGTTTTCACGGCGGAATTGCTAACTACTGCTAATTGCGGGGTTTTCACTTAAATCAGCTGCCACCACAGGGTGTGAAAGGAAGTCAGTCCTATGAAAAACAATTAAAGACAGCTATTAAAACCCTTTCGTATTTACGCCTCCAACATATGTATGTACGCGTAGATACCCATGTACATATGTGTGTGTACTCGTAAATTAGAGGCCACTAATCACTAGTGGCCGCGGTAGCCGAGTGGCTAGCATTGCGTAGTGACATACGGAAAGCCAGGGTTCAAATCCTGATGCGACCAACATCCAAAAGTTAGAGAAAATTAAATTAAATAAAAAATTAAGTTAAATTTTCAACCCGTCCGAGTGTATTTCTGACATGAAATAAGTGCTCCTCATAAGAACGCAGCAGCCGTTCGGACGCAGCTTACTATAAGCGTTAAATCCCTCCATTTGCAGTTGAAAATTTTAAGACGAAAACCGCAAATTGAAGGTGGAGCTCGACCGAAAATCGCTTCAGGGGTTACAAAGCGCCAATTATATATATTATATAATTTTAGTATTCAGCATATTACATATTTTCAAATTCAAATTACTATCTGTGTTTAAATTTCAGTTGGCTTGCAGAAAGAGGGCGTTCAGGATGGGTCCTCGAGGATGAAATGTGGCTGTTGGTGACGTGAGAGGCACCTTTTTACAACCTTCGAAGAGCGAAGTTAACTCCCATAAAGTTCCATTGCTGCCTTTTTTGATAATGACATACATACATACATACATATATGAATGAAGAATATGCATATTTATTCAAAATGTCTCTGATTATTCATCAGTTAATCAGAATTAACGCTGGCGTCTGTCAGGGCTATTACGCTTTCGACTGTTCCTATTGGGCATTTCCCTCGATGTATTCTGCACCAACACAAACACACGCATAAGCATGTGTGCTTATTGCAGATAATGTGCGATACGTACACGTACATGCAATTAAGCTCAGACTGTGCGGGACTTGTGCAACGTCGTTTTCGGTTTCAACAACAAACCGGTTGCTGTTGCTACTTCAAATACAGACACATGCAATTATGTATTCTCCATTGCATGTACAAATACACATACAAGTACGATCGTATGTGACTTATATCCAGTTTTTTGTATCTTTTACTCTTTCTAAGTTAGTGGTCAAGGTCTAAGGA